CCACTGGCCCCATCCCCGTCAGTGCGGGGCCGCTAGAAGAAGTATCTGGCGAGGGAGGTAGGTCCCAGGGGAGCTGTGCCTCGCCACGAACGCGTTTCTTCCCGCAGTAGCGCATTGCATGGCAGGCACCGGCAGATTCTCGCTGCAACAGAGGGTGGTGCTGTGCCGGGGCCAGCTCTTAGCTCGGGGCGGGGACAGCAGGGCAAGGGTGCGACAGGCATGGCAGCAGGGACTCTAAATTTAGAGTCCTTCCTTTATCAGAAACACAAAACTTGCAGGCAGCTCAATCCCGAAAAGCATTTAGACCCCATATGCTCATATTGGATCGTGTTCCCGTGCTTTTCCTTGAACACAGACCGCACGATCAGCACGTGGAGAGGTGTCAGCTCTAGATGAGGTCGACAGAAGTAGCTCTCCGCCCAGAAAACCCACAAATTAATTTCCTTTGCTTTAAAATCAAGTGAGCAGAAAGAACACCAGCAAATGCCTCCATAGCTACAATTCTAACACATAACTTACTTTTATAGATCTCTACAGCATTATAGATATTGCATATAACCCAGCTGTTCTTCAGAGGGGAGAAGAAAACCCAGAAAAAATGGAACACTTGATCCATTTGACACTTAAATTCGTTGAGGAACGGTGCAACCTTGTTCTTTCTTATCTGTACACCATTGAATCATTCAAATTGAAAGGAAGCCTGGAAATGATGCAGCAACGTCTCAAAGGAAGGCAGATGCCAACTCCACAGCTCAGTCAGAACGCAAAGAAGGGTATGTAGGGATCTGCTATCACTTTTCTGCACTCAGCTCTGGTATTTTACAACTGAGAAACTGTAGTGACACTGAGACAGCAAATTCCCTTTTTCCTATGTCCACTAGACACGGAAAGTCTGCTAGGGTTTTGATCCTTTGAGGTGCTAAGTTTCTTTTGCTCTAAGCTGAGTAAAAGGGGTTGCTGCTGTTAACTAGTATTCTAGAAACAACAACCTTTAACCCACTGGTAAGAAAACCAAATCATAGGCAGGAGAAACTGCCAATAAGTCTTCAGCTGACAAAAATGTTAATTACAATTACAAGTTTAAACTTTCATGATTAATTTGTCAAGTGGCCTAACATTACAGTTCTTAGTAACTGAGTGATATATGTAAAAAACTTGTAAACTTGGGGTTTTTTTCTTGAAAGAACTGACACTCGATCAGCTGCTACACAGTGTGGAAGCTGAGGACTGCAGCAATGCTCCTGTAGTGCTGAAGGAAGAAAGTATTACACAGTCTAAAGTGCATCTGATAGAGGAAATGACCAGTACTGAAATGCCAGAGAAGCCAAGTACCCCTGTCTATGAAATGATCACTGTGAAGGATGGAAACAAGAAACCACTCAAAATTGAACTCAAAATCGAATTGCCTAAGGTTAGCTCTGTTTCTGAATGTGATCTGAGAATTTCAAAGGTAAGATAGCAGAAAGAATAACCTTATGTTTTCTGTCTAGTATCCAATTCCTATAAATACTCACTGCTAATTTGTTGATAAATAGTTAATCAGGTATTTTAATTTTCTTGGTTTAGGATGACCTAATGATTGAAGTCCCTGAAAAATACATATTACAACTAGATCTGCCAGAACTGGTGGATGAAGAAACAACTACAGCAGTATTTAACAAAGCAAAACGGGTATTGTTTATCACAGTGCTAGTTGCCAACCCAGATCCTTAACGACTGCATTCTGTCCAGTTGACGTTCACAGATGACAGAACAAAACAAAAGCCCAGAATGAGAATCCTAACTTTTAGTTGGTGAAGAAGTTGTTTGGGGTTTTTTTTTTATTGACTTTCTAATCTTCAGGGGTGAACAGCTCAAATGCCTCTAGAAGATGCACATAGAAAAGGAAGTCTGGAAGAACATTAGCACCACCAAACTTAGGAGAAAAAAATAAGTAAAGACTGTAAATATTCAAGGAGTACTTGAATATGCTAACAGCTCTAGTAAAAACCATAAATGCATACGTCCTTTAGTACATCATTCATTTCGCCTTAAGGTACAGCAATAGAAGTTGTGAAGTTTTTTGCTCAATAAATTGATTACTGGATTCACATGGTTAGAGCAGCTCTCACATGTATGTAACACTGGAACAACCAGCACAGTTGTGTCATACACAGTTCTACAAGTTGCCCTGCATGCTGTTGCTCTTCCCTTTAGGCCAATCCCTGCTGATGTTAAGTGGAATAGGCTTTGTAGTCTTTTCAGTCACTGAATATGCCTGACCTCACTTCCTACCAGTTTGGTAATCTCTGAATGAGACCATGAAACACCAGACCTACTTCTGTACTACTCCAAACAGCATACAGAGATTCAAAGCTCAGGAACGCTCAGTGTGAAGCCAGCAACCAGAAACAACCTTGGAGCACTTCAACTAGGAAGTTTACGCTAATGCACAAAATACCAGGTCATACAAAGCAACACAAAACAACTTCAAGGATTACTGAGCATCACTAGAATTCATCAGGAAAGGGACAAACAAAAGTTTAAGTGATCTTAGTTTCATGGTTGATTTGGTAGTATGTCATTCTTATGGCTTCTATGACACATTAGGACTACAACCATGATTCTGTACCAATATTCATCAGAAAGAAATACAGACAAATTGGTTTTGAGCTGCAGCTTTAAAATACAGGCTTAGAAAAAAGCAGTAACTCCTAGCTTTCCCCCTCTTTGTTTCAAAGCAACTGAGAAGGCTGCATTGAAACACTGTTCAGTGATTAGAGTTGCAAGTTCAAGCTGAAATGCTCTCACTGCATGAGCTGAGCTGGCCTGTTGCATGATGCAAGCAGTACCAGAAGTCACTGTCAGCACTCCAAGCACGCACACTGGATAGGATTTTTTAAGTTGCAAGTGTTCCAGAGTCTGGATAGTCATTCAGAGAGTGTTTCCATAGGATAAACTATTAGTGTTCTTACTGCAGGAAGAAAGTGAAAGGTCTCTGTAGCCAGAATTTGAGGTTCTCATGAACACCGCAGCAAGGAAGCTAGGAAGATTAAAGTTCACTGCTGCATGATAGTAATAAAGCATGTATTGTTTTGGAACATTTGTGATTACAATTTAAGGTTAATAGGGTGAGTTTCACTATCAGACTGAAAGGCTAAACAGCTCTGATTGTGCTACAGCAGTACAGGAAGCCACACACAACTGAATAGAAAAAGCACTGGCACATGTTTTAGTAGCTGTCAATTCCAAACATTTAATAGAACAGAGGTTCACGAGAGCAAGTCTGGAACCAAGACATTTTAGATCATCAAAGAAAAACCAAAACCTTAATGCACTTTTTTGCTTAAGCCAGGCATGAAAACCAGGTATCACAGCAACCAGACATTAAATAGTTCCCACAAAAATATTTAATTTCCACAGTATTTTCTTTCAGTATCTTTAGTGAATTCTGTAGAACTTTACAGGAGACAGTACTTACTGCAATATACAGAATAACAGGTCAGCTTTAACATTTTTTTCTTTTTAAACTTCTCCCTCCTATTTAATTCTCCTGGTCACTTTGTAATTACTACACAGTTGTCCTTTTTACATTAATGTTTTCCATGTGGAAAGTGGAATTTAAGAACGTTCAGCACTGCAACCCTTTCAGGATATAATGACTGGGGTAACTGGACACAAGTCCAACAAACTATTGAAGCGTTTTACATACAATATATATACATGGACAGCACATTCTGCAGCTTACTGAGTCTGGGACAATATAGACAATTCAGGGAAGAATCATAGTACTAACTGAGTACTAACTCAGACCTTCCTATGCTAGAATGCCTGAAAAAAAAATATTCCAAACATTCAAGTCACCACATGATTAATATCCACTGATGGGATGAGCGTGTGTGATTTGCCTATATTGGGTTCCAACACACAGATTCTCTTGAACGTTCTGCAAAACAGTTACTTCCATGGCATCATAGTCTGGTATTAGCAGGAAGAACAGCAATGAAAGAGTTTTCATACAAAAAGCACAGGTAAGTGAAAGTCCACAAGATGACAGCACGTTCCCTGGGGTATCTGAGAGCTGTGACCCCACAGGTATCAGTGCTCTTTCACTTTAAAGTGCTCAAAAGGGATCACATAGCTGAGAAGGTCCAGACCAGTGCCAAATTCCAAGACAGATATGGAATGCTAACACTTGGCCTTTGAGAAGCTATTCCCAGGCACTTCAGTCCCTTAGTGCATCTGTCATACCCACCCACCCCAGCAGGAGAACAGGGAATTCACCTTCCACTAACTTGTACATTTCAGTTACCATCTCATCTGAACTCCTGTGAAGAGATGTTTATAATTCAAATTTCTGAGAACACTGAGGTAATGAAATTGCTTGGTATGCACCCTGCTCCGTTCAGCCTAGTTTAGAAGTAGATGTCAGTATGCATACTGCCTGGATCCTTTTTAAATCTGGGATGCTTAACTCTGTTTTGGAAGAGTTTGCAAGTTAACTAACTGTATAAAAATACAGTATAGCTATAATATTGCTCTGAAAAGCACTTTTGCAAACTTTTTTCTGTACAGACTGGTAACAACATTACCAGATAATATAATACATATTTAAAATAAAAAAAAAAGGAACTCTTTTAATAAGTCTGAACACTAACGTCTAAATAGCTTGTTTAAAACAAAACAGTGTGACCCAGGAAAATTCTGCTTGAATGGTTAAATTATAGCAGCATGGTTACTGGTTTTTCAAGGAAATTCTTGAATTCAGCAAGCCACTGTGCTCCAACTGCTCCATCTACAACACGATGATCACAGCTAAGTGTAACAGACATCACACTGGCCACATCAAATCTGAAAGAAGGGGAAAAAAAAAGGTTAACACAGTCCTTTGCAAGTCAGTGCCAATAACAAAGCAAAAAAGCTTTTATCAGATAACCAGCAATAGCAGTTGGTGCTTGACAACAGATGTGTTCCCTTTAGGACATGAAGCTCATCTTTCTTTGTATCAAAAGAGCAGCCCCACACAATCAAAGAAAAAAGAAAAATCAAAGAAAAAGAGCCATTTTAAGCAGTAACCTCCCATGTGTCAGTGACAGAGACCTTGGACTGTTAAGTTTAAAACATAGTAAACATTCTCCCAGGTCTATGCTAGTTCCAGCTCCAAGCAAGGTGACACAGGACACTTGAATTATAATCCATCCCTTAGGTTTTCCTTAAATGCAAACTTAGGCAAGTTGTTAAAAGAGGAACAGATGCCTAAACTGTTGTGGATCCCAGACTTTTCCACAGCTTAACCCTCCCCCTCAAAGAAACAACCAGCTTTTCCTTAACTTGCAAAGAAGCTGCAAGAATAAATGGATGGCAGGTCATTCATCAGTCACTCTACCACTTCAGAAGGTACTAAAAGCAGTATGTCAACAATTAATTTTTTTTTTTAATTGTAATCTAATGGGAAGGTTGGAAAACCAGACATTATTTCACAGTCTGAACTGAGCAGCTCAGTATATGCAGAATACTTACCCCTTCTCATTATCAGCTGGCACTAGCCTTTTCTCTGAGGAACCAACTGCAAGGATACAGGCTTGAGGTGGATTGATTATGGCAGAGAAATTCTTAATCCCATACATTCCTAAATTGGAAATTGTGAAAGTACCACCCTAAAGAAAACCACATTCATAGTCAATTTCACAAAAGCTGTTTCAGTGGAATATTAATGAACATAAGTGAAACATCACAAAACAGGCTTTGCTTATTCTGAACAGGGCTCCTGAACAGAAGTCAAGGGCAGCAATGTTTAACAGCAATCCCAGTTTCTCACCTGGAATTCATGAGGCTGAAGTTTGCCTTCTCGGGCTCTAGTTGCCAAAGAAACCACATCCTTACTAATGGAAGCCAGGCCCTTTATATGTGCATTAAACACAATAGGGGTTATAAGCCCTGCAGGAGTACTAACTGCAACGCTAACATCCACTACGTGGTTTCTGCAAGACACAAAGGAGATGCCAGTTACTCGAGCAAGATAACAAGGAAAAAAAAATTCAGAACTGTTTAAACAACTCTAAATTAACATCAGTTTTGCAACAATTATTTCACCTTGCATACCAGCCTCAGACACAAGGTTCTCAGCACTCTAACGAAAGTCCCACAACCTTTGCATTATACCTGTTCCCCTCCCTCCTCAAAATCCCAGCAGGTCTGCTATTTTGCCACGAACTCTCTACTGAACAAAGAAAGTTTCTGGCTTCGACCGTACCATAAACTTACTGCCTAATAACTGTGTCCATCCATGAAGAATTTGCCTCAGGCACCTTCAAGCATGCCAGAGCAGAAGCTTTAATTATGAAGTCATTGACAGAAAGCTTAATGTTATCCGAGACCTCCTGAAAATAAAGAGATTTGACCCGTCAGTTTGTCTCTTGCACATTCACTCAATTAACCTGGATAGTCACTGCCACGCAGCCTTGTCTAGATGTTTGACAACAATCACATTACTTGTAAGCATTAATATTTGAAGTGCCAAGATAATTTAGGAGGTGAATACATCTCCACAATTTAAGAAGGTACAATCTTTTTTAATGTCTGTTTTTCCCCAAACTTAGCTTAGAATTATTATTTTGCTTAAATTTCCTAACCTTTTTACTCTTTAAAGACCTTTTTACCCTTTTGCCCTACTTTCCAGCTGGAAGAACTGACACCACCAAGTAGAGTACAAAGCAGCCCTCTTAGGTAAGTCAGAAATCAGTGCACAGCACCTGAGTAAAAAGTCTCATTCTGTCAGACAGTCCAGAACAGACACAAAACCGCTACAAAAGGCACTGAAAAGACTATTTTTTCTGAGCCAAAACGGCACCAAAAAGTAGGGTTGGCAAACCTATGAGAGAATGCAGCTTTGCCCACACACACACTCACCATGCCTACATGCTTTACCTGATTTAGTTCTTTCCTTAGCACCAGTACTTCTTCCATGTTTATATCAACAGAAAGGTAGTAGTGAGGTATTGTTTGTTTAGACTGCATCAGCCGCTGAGCAATGACCTGCAGGTATACAACAGAAGTAACGAAAATAAATCCAGTTGGAAAAGTCATGACTGCAAATAATGATCTCAGAAAGGAATAACATCTTCTTACCCTCCGAATGTTGCTGATAGGGATATCTGTGAAGGTCCCTGCTGGTGCTGCTGCAACTGCAGCAGCTGCAGGAACCGCTTCTAGTGTTGGAGCCTGCAATTGGGGAAAGCAAGCATAATTCACAGTACCATCCAAATATCAGTTGTACAGAGTAATTCAGTATGTGGGGCAAGTGCTGAGGCTAAGCTGCCTCTTGCTTGAGAGCAGCAGGTACTTCTATTCTCTAGCCTCACCTCCCAAATAACCACTAGGTTCTTTATAAGCCCTATATTCGACTATTAAAGGTAGTACTTGACTGATTTAGAAATGTAACACTGATCTACACTGCTACAAGGCTCCCAGAATAGTAAGTCCTGCTAGATCGTTGGTTTACCATAACCCAACCAATGCAGCCATACCAGTTCCATATAACAACTGCATTTCTACAGAGCATTTCCATCACGATAATAAAATATCCCTTCTCACAGATCTCAAGCCTACTCACTGGAGCAACCTTTGGTGGCACAAATGACTCCACATCTTTCTTTGTGATTCTACCATCTGGTCCAGTACCTAAAAGGGTCAAAGAAAAGAGGATTTCAATCATTTGCAACAGAGCATTGCTTCTAAAGGTACCCATTTTATTCAACAGAGAGAAGTCACTTAACACAACCTCTGGTGAGGAGAGCTGCATAGTCAGGATGTTCTTGTCAGGGAGGAAAGAAAAGAACAGGCAAGTATGTACCTAGAGGGACAGACACTCGATAGTGAGAGCAAGAAAGGGGAAGGGCAACCTACCTTTCACTTGGGCAAGGTCAATTCCTTTTTCTGCTGCTATTTTCTTTGCCAGGGGACTAACCAGGACCCTTCCTTTCCGGGGAGGTGGCGCAGCCGTGGGGACTGCTGGAGTGGAAGGAACAGCAGGCTGGGGAGGAGGAGCTGCAGCAGGAGTTGCCACCACCTTAAGAGAAGAATCAAAGCCATTAGTTTCAGGATCATGCAGCAAAAGCCTTGAAGGTACAGTAAGAGAACAGGACCATCTAATTACCAGTCAAGAGAATAGCAAATATAGTCACTAATCTGAAAGAAGATTCAGAGAAGTTTACCAGTGCCAGAAATTAAGTCAGAAACTTCCTAGGAAGGTGGCAAACTAAGCTGCTGAACTATACACCAAAAAAAGGTGAAATAAATAACTTATGCTCCCAGTTTTTAAGGATGAGTCATTAGTACTGGCACAAGCAACAGGCTGGAGAAGAGACTGTAACAAATGACTCCAGTTTTGCTCCAGTTTTTGGACGGCAAACTAGCAATCATTTCTTAGGTCACCTATCACCAACACATGTGTTAGCCTTACATTCACAGAATCATAAACATTATTGTTGGAGCCAGGGCTTCACACTGTCAACCAGCAGAACGGTTCAGATCTCTTAATGGTCTCCGTAACTCCTCTCACATGCTAAGAATGGTCCTTACTGGTGGAGGAGGAGGAGGAGGAAGAGGAGGAGGAAGAGGAGCTTGTGCCTTCACATCAGTTACAGCAGTGTCTTGGTAGTCAGCAAAGGCTGGAATATCCGACTCTTTCTCCACAATGATGCAGAGAGCTGTTCCTAATGGCACATCTCTTGTTCCCTCAGGCACCAAGATTTTTGCCAAGTAGCCTTCCTCCTGCACTTCAAAGCCTGTAAGGGAAAGAAACAAAACTGGTTTGGTGTCTGATGCAGCTGAAGAGTTCTAAATGCTGCTTCTAAAGACTTTGGTAGCTAAAGCCCTGTCTATATTTAGTAGGCAAGAGAATCCTTTTCACTGCAACTGGTAGGGAAACATCCCATGCACTGTGTGTTACTGAGAAGGACTGATGAAGAAATAGAAGTGATTTTAGGAGCTCCAATGTTTAGCTCTCCAATGGAATGAGAACTTAATAAAACTTGGTTTAGCTCCCCCACAGTTTCACATCCTGTGCAGCTAGAACAGCTGGCAAAGAGGCTACCCTGGATCCTCCCCTTTTAAGGGCACCTCATCCATGCTTGGCTTTGAAGTTGGCTCACCTATTGTGGCTTTATCTGTCTCAATTTCTGCCAGTAAGTCTCCCTCATTCAGTTTCTCTCCAACCTTCTTCTCCCATCTCTGCACTGTGCCCATTGTCATGGTAGGTGACAAGGCAGGGAGTGTGACCTGTGAAGCCAGAAAATACAAGAGAATAAGATTCTGGTAATCCAAAAAGAACAGGAACACAGTTTTAACTCCTGATAAACGATGCCAGCCTAAGGAAGTAGCCAGCCTTTAATGCACTCCTAGCTCAGGCTCCATTACAGCCAAGCACTGTGCTGTGCCATATTGCTGGTGTGGCTCCTTTTACCAAGGCTTAAGCAAGAAATCTCTACATCAAAATAATTATTAACACCATCACATTAGGAGTGCCTTGCAGCTGCTATCTGCAAGGCTAAAAGGAAGACTGAAGCAAGTCACTTTGCCTGGGACAAACAGGTTTGGCCCCTCAAAAAGCTATACAGACTTGTCTTCCAATGAGCACTCAAAGATGCTGAAGGTTTGCACGTGCATATTGCTATGCAACAAACACAGCAGGTGTGAGTACAGCTTCAGAGCAGAACTGGACAGATAAGGCAAGCAGTGGGAAGTAAGGAAGTTTATTAGCTAAAACACAAGTCAGATTCCAAAGCCTTTAATTAATTCTTTGTTCAATTACTCATTTTGCATAACATCTTGGACAAATCATTTCCCTCATGTATTGTCTGTGGAATGAGGTTTAGTATCTCAAATTTTCTTTTTCAAAGGAATGTCACAGAAATATCCTGCTACAAAGTGCTCAAACACAACAACAGTGGATGCACACTTCAATTAATAAGCAAGGTAAAAATATTAACCACAAATACAACTTATTATTAGTCACCCACGACACATCTGGTGTGTTCATCCGTGTTCTGCTCTAAGATGTAAGCAGGGCCTTCAGAGCTTATTCACACTTAGCACAAGGTCTTTTGATATCAGAAACTGTCCAAATAATGCAAATGTAGCAGGTTTTTCTAGACCACATAATAATCCTGGAGAGACAAGTCTCTCCTCTATTAAAAGCTAGGAAGCTAAAACAATTTTCTGACAAAAGCATTCTGGGACCTCCCCAAACACCTGCTTTAAGCATGGAACAACTCAACTGGTACACACTCCCTCAGTTAACAGCTAACAACTTCCCACTCCAGGTAGTATTTATGACAAAATGCCCTCGAGCTAGCAATGCCAAAGACAGAAAAAAAGTGTAACAAGCCTTAAATCATTAGCAATGCTCTCTTACCTGCATATGAGGAGGATAAGAGCTGCCAGGAGCCTGAGGAGAAGGCTGAGTTGGTGGTGAGGGAACTGCAGCTTGAGGGGGAGGCACTGAGGCTGCAGGGGGGGCAGAGGCTGCAGAATCCAGAGTATAATTTTTAAAGGCATCAACATATTCAGGCCTAGAATAAAACACAGAACCACAAACCTAGATGACTGTCTCTAAGCCTTTCTTGGGTACAAGGCACCCAAGAAGCCCCAAGAGAGAAAATTCAACTCAAGGGTTAGTAAAATACATACTTTTCTACTGTGATACATATTATGGCCCCAATAGGAACATCTCTTGTTCCTTCTGGCACCAGGATCTTGGCCAAGTAGCATTCCTCCAAGCTCTCAAAGCCAACTGTTGCTTTGTCTGTCTCCACCTTTGAGAGAGAACAGGATATCATTACAGCAATGGAAAAGACAAGTGAGCTCAGAGCCTTCCAGTTTGAACAGCAGAGAGTCACAATACACACAGTTCTGGAAAAATCATCCTGTGGCACCAACTCTGGGAAAGTGAGCTCTCAAACAGGTTAAGGGCTGCTCCTGCTCAGAAGAAGAAAAAAGCTGCAACCAGCTTTGAAAGGATGTTAGCCACTTGTTCCCAACAGCTTCTGTCAGGGTCTGTGATCTTGAGTCCAAGATCTGTGTTCAAGTGAGGGCAACCAGGGACAGAACCCAGGATGCACATGCAGCTCATGAGAAATGCAGCACAGCCTGTGCTCCCGGGATACCTCTGCTATGAGCTCCCCTTCATTGATCTTTTCGCCTTCCTTCTTTTCCCAGCGCGCAATAGTGCCCATCTGCATCGTGGGGGACAGAGCTGGCAAGGCCACCTGTGAGGAAGAGGGTAGTGTTACAACCCTGACAGCAGTAATCCCACACATTGGGCAGAGATGGACCCTCAGCACAGGCTGGGACAGGGGAGCACAAAGGAGAGCCTGTCTGCAAATCCCCAGCAGATCGGGACTGTCTCCTTCCTGCTGGTAGGACCCCAGGGCAAACCAATATTAGGGTGCTGAGATGGGGTGGACCAAGAAAAGGAGAAGCTGTGCCAGGGGACCAGAGAAGTACAGGGAAAAAGGACTAGTGGTGAAGGAGATGGCCCCTGATGATGCTACAGGGTCTTGTGGCAGGGTGGTGGCAAGGGTGTGAGAACTGCAGGAGTGGGGAGAGAAGAACTGCAGCTCCCC